AACAACTGATCAAACGTACTCGATTTTGAGGCATCCCTCGTCACTGTCCAAAGAGGTCTGTCGACATGAACAATCGTTTTTAGCATCATGCGAAAGACCCAGCAAATGAGCCAATTCGTGGAAGAATATCGATGCGTATTCCATTGGTGCATCAGCGAAAAACTGCAAACAAGCGATTTATTACTAGCGATAAAAAGTTTTGCAAGCAATTTTGCTAAACCAACAACGATTTGTATCCAGATTAATTGAACAAATGAAGAATCAATCCCGCGTTTACAATTCTCATGAAAATTTTTCGGAAAATAAATTTGGGAAAATTTATGGTGCTTGTGCAGAAAGTGAGTATGGTGATCAAATGTTTTTGAGCGATCATCTGCATCAAGATATTCATGCATGAGGGAATATGCAGCCATAAACGGTCACTTAGCGGTGATTCCTTCATAAAATGATCCAGGATTCATTTCTGCACGAATGCTCTGGTGTTGACTTGATAATTAAACACAGAACTGACACCGATGATTCCGACAGCAGAACGACCACATATACCGTTCACGTAGGCGATACCACCCTCATAGGTACTACTGATCAAAATGGCCAAATCGTGCGCTGGGAACTCATGAAACTTCTCCCTCTTGTAACCGGCGAATCGCTCGAGTGTGACGTTATGCGCAATCATCTCAACCACATCCACCACAATCAATCGAATATCAAGTTGATAGAGGTACTAAAACGTAGACATAATTCAAATATGAAAACTTCTCAGAGCCCTTGAAAGCCATATTTCGAGGGTCGGATGTTTTTTCTTAGTTAGACATGGCTCATAAATGATCTGAAGGATGATCTGAAACGAAACAATCAAATCGACATGATTGGAGGGAATAGGCTAGGCATTCGAAGAATTCTTCCATTTGACTCGCCCAAAACCACAAGAATTACGATGTCTCAATGAAACGAACCAAGTTAAGTGCTTGCATTAACGTGACCACTGCACGTCTTAGCTTCTTCATGTCTCGATTGAATCGCTTCGACTGAAATGAAACTTTCATGACTTGACAATGACGAAAATGCTCAAATAATTCGCTCATAATCGGTGTGAGTACACTCACCACTCCAATATCAGCAATCAGCAGTGTTTCAATGTACCGTGCCTTCCCATACGTGTTCGCATCGCTCCAGTCAGGTACAGTCGTTGCTACGGTCACCAAACCGTGTTGGTTAGTGGGTTTGATTGTTAGAATCTAGAATCACGACACCGCATCAGCTTGAAACTCTCAAAAACATAGATTGGTACAGTTGACTCGATCGCATGCGGAATTGAGTGTAACTGAATAGAGGAATTTCTAATGAACACGGATATCTCCACTTATTAAGTGGCTATCGTTCAGCATACCATTCTTTTCTTCAAAACGAAGATATTTTATCTATGATTGACATGA